GAGTGAAGACACTACAGCGAAAAGAATGCATTTACGGAACAGACGCGTCAGGAATGATTGGCAGTCTACTTACACGGTGTGCCACAATTAACGGCTGCCAGCTGTGTCGAATTAATAAACGCCTCTCACCGTGTGTGATCCACGACATAAAAACGCTGTCCCGCCATATGATCAGGAATAAATGAGATCCTTTTATGGGAAGCCCCATCAAACGGGAAGCGTCGAAGCAACACAAAATACTAAACAAAAGAACTGAAGAGCGACCCGAGTGTGATCTTGTCAAGTTCCACATGCTCCGTACTCGACGCATTCTTGCCAGGTATAGAACATGAAGAGCGCAATTTTATGGCCAGTCCGCAGACTCGGGTGAATAATATTATAATGATTATATACAATATTATGATTATTATTTATGATATTATGATGATGCAGCTGGGCAGTAGCGGCCACTGGTAACGAGAAAACTATGTCAATCATTAGACAAGTTGGAAGAAATATATTTTTAACGAATGGACGACAATGATCAAGAAGTTGAATAAAACTAATATCAATCTGTAATTTGCTTAATTTTGGTTTAAAACCAATTTTTGTACTCTCCGACAACTGAGTACAAGAGAATGAAAAGAATTCAAATAAAGTCCTCCAGTAACAATACTTGCTACATAGGAAACGTTCACTAGAATTTATAAAAATTCTATAATTCCAAATTATAGAATTCTACAATTTCAATATCTTATTGTAGAGGAGCAAAGACAGACTTTTATAGACGAGTCATCCCAATATATACGATAACAAGCCAATTATCGAGAGGAAAATATCGACAACAATATACTTTTATAGCTCGAGCGTCTCGGACTAATTAGGGAAGGAATAGAAATACATTCGCTTTTATTAACGTAGGAATTGAATAGCAATTAAATATTCCATCAAAACAACGTATTAGAAAATTGCACTGAAAGAAACCATGCCAGAGATGGTAAACTATCATGGCAGTGTTAGGAAATACTTAATCAAATGTTCAATGATCGATTGATTGATCGTTGATTAACAACTTACGATACCCAATTTCAATGCAACATTTTAATTTAAATATGTATAATTTGACCGTAGAAGAAAATACGAGTAAGATCATAATTAAAAATTGAAGATATAAATTAAACAAGCATCAATACAACTTAATATCGTATAAGATTAAATAATCGACTTTCCCGGCGAACAGCATTGCGAGATTTTATTCCTCTCTCAACAATAATTTCAGTCTTCACTCGATGTATGAATCACTTGAATAAGCGTGCAAACGGCGCATTATAACAACGCAAGGTTATATGAAACAACTCTTAGTGTGTTAAATTACGTCGCAACAGAATAGAAACCCAGCGATAAAAGTAATAATTAATGCTTTATTCACTCGAGATATTGTGAGGAGACCGAGAAACATTGCAGTATCATCATGTTAGTATCATCATTGCCCCATTCCCCCCATTCCAGCCGCAAGTTACGCCGGGACTTGAAAGTTGCTGAGCGACGAGCTACATGTAGGAAGCACATCGTTATAGACCGAAGCTGCAGCGAGACTACATACACACACTCGCTCCTGCAGGCGCATGCAGTCAGCCAGGTGCGTGTTAAATAAAATAGAAATGCACACTATAAAAGTCGGCCTACACACTCGCACTCGGCGCATGCAGTTAACAAGGGCGAGGTAAATAATAATGAGTTCAATAAACGTGTTACAAATGCAACACGATCAAAGTAGTACATAGTGTGCTCGTATAAATAACATGTGTACATGAACAATTGCACATTGTCCTAGAAAAGATATACGAACACATTAACTCCATTCAAATAAACACCCGCCCGAGTTAATTTGCAAACCACCTAGTGATACATAAAAACTTGTGTAGTATATTAACACACTAAATACCTCGTGTTTAGCGTCTTACACAAACTCTTAGTGAAATAGCATGCATATATACATAAGCATAACCTCATAGTGTCATAACAAATACGTGTACACGCATAACCTTTTGGTGACCTAACAAACACGCGTACATGCATAACTATAGTGGTCTAACAAACACGGGTACACGTATATATAACCTCCTCGTGGTCTAACAAACACGGGTACACGCATAACCTCCTAGTGGCCTAACAAACACGGGTAGGCATAACCCCTTTATGACCTAACAAATACACGAACGCGTGCGTCATCCAAGTAGAACCCACACAAGCTATCAGCTGCTGACACGACTACCCAGCAATCGATCACTTTAAGTGACAGAGCTAAAAATTCGCGTCTCTTTTACTAAAATGGCTGACAAGTTGGAGCATCGGAACTGGCCGAGCTATGAAGACGTCCTCACCCGACCTGAACAAACAGCATCGAGAGGCTTCAGCAAATGACAGCAAAAAATTAGCCCGCATCCTAAGCGGAATGTATTGAAGGTGATGTCGATTGAAGTCGAATTAAAAATTTTCAGTCATACTAGTTGAACGGAACGCAATACGGTTGTTGTAATGCTCAGAAAACAAATGAGGTAGAATTGAACAATACATATAAAATGGGATAAAGTACTTTATTTGCGAGATAAAAAAATTACGCTCCAAGACTTGAGGATGATCTTGTGTTGATTAAATATACTGCGGTTCAAGTCACTAACGAGAATAGATCAAGGGGATTCAACTATGAAAAACTATAACCTAATTATATTGCTACATCAAAATAAGTATATATTGCATGAAAATAAACTAAACTGCATCCTTGAACTTAAATGATTTAACAATTTTGAATTTAGAAGTGCGACGGCTGTAGGTCGCGGCTGAGCTGAGAGCGAGGCCCCTCAAGTGCGACCAGATTATTAACTCTTCGCGGATTTCAGACGTCGTTCCCTCACTCACACATCAGTTACTTTAACACACAAATTCAGACGCATGTATACGTCACAAATTATGAAGTATTTGGATCGTATTTAACTATGACTTATTTGGATATTCGTTATTAAAATACGCAAGCTATAAGCTATAACGTAAAATTTCATTTCGAAAAAAATAAAAAGAGGTCAAAGTATAGCAAAGATGCTTTAGAAATGAAAAGAATGAATAAAGCAGACGAATAAAGCATAAGCGAAAGCGCAGGCGTACTGCGCAGCTCCATTTCCAAGAGATGATTATCACTGAAGCCCTGCTGGGGTCGGAAAAAGCAATTAAACACACGAGCGCGCTTAATTGAGAATCTATTTGAATATGACCGAGTTTCTACGAAACCATCCCTGCCATGAGACCTCATTGCTCCACTACAAAAGTACGAATACGGCGGCTCCTCGTCACAGAAATCGCACTTACAAACACAAATACAGCAATGATTCTAGTACGTAAATCGATTTCCCATCGTCTTTCCGGGCTCACACTCTTACTAATTCCCATTTCATGAATAATTCACGGCAAAAATAATTACATTTCAATTTGGACAGTGAGCAAGTCAGCCACGACGGTGATTCCGTATCGACGAGTACGACACCCCTAACAAGCAAGACGGAATCACGACGAACTTTCACGAATAGCATTTCAAAACGGACTTATTTTTAATAGATTTTCATTTTGCTCATTATGTTGTTACACTAAATGCATTACACATATATGTCACAGAAACGAAACAACCCACATATGATTTTCTAAAGCAAGAAACAAATAAATTAATAATTTTTAAACAAACAAAATTCAGGTGGCAATAGCACTCTTCACATGGCCTTCTCATCTTGCAAGATTTTGTTCAGAGTCAAGTAAGAAGCTTTCTCCACGATAAGGTTGCCATGTCGGCTGCCACCACCGTTCACCGACCCCGTGCATCAAAATGCAACTGCAGCATATGCAGTCCGAACCCTTAGTGGAATAACAAGCTTCGTATACAGCAGGCGTGTGGTGTACCCACAAGCTATTCCAACGTTCAGACCGTCAAGTGAACGCAGGCAGACACTTTATAATAATGCCGTTCCTGACTCGATTGTAAATTGATTTCGAAGCTATAGCATTAAGAAGACGATACACGATCACTGCACCTATACATATAGCTGCTTTAATGCACTCATTGTCCCTTATAATTTATGCCCTTGGGAAGGAGCATTTAATTCAATTTTGGATAAACGCACCACTAATTGCATGTTCATGGCATGTGAAAGATATGCACTAAGCTAGATATATAACTATAGAATATGTAACAATCATAAACATTCACTAAACAGTTTGAGTTTTCAAAACCAGTTTTAGTTGCATTGCAAAACTTTGTCGCAAAATGAAGAATCCAGGTAAACGAATTTTGAAGTTTTGCCCCTAAAAAACTGCTCGAAAGAAAACTAAAGCACAAGAATGATTCAAACCTCTATTTCTAGAGCCGCTTAAGTGCAGGAACAGCAGAGCAATTACTTCGTCATGAATAATTTGCGGCACAAAATAATGAATTTTCATTTAGACACCGAGCAAGGCCGTGATGACAGTGACTGCGTATCGCCCTGTACAACATCTCTATCAAGCATGGCGGAATCACGCCGAACTTTAATACGACTCCCGCACAGCACAAGGGAAAGTTGGAACATACATTGATTTGATAAAGCAGTCATACGAGAGGTTAATGGACAAGTTTCTTCAAGAACTGGATTCATTTTAGGAATACTCTACACGCTGTTACAACGAAGGTTCCAAGAAATTTTAGAATAGGTTATTGTGTGCAATGAGCAAATGCTTGAGAAACTAGTACAAGTTTACTCTCTTCACTTACTTAGAGAGCCCAACTGCGACATAACGAAGCAAGCTTCGCTATAACACAGAGTGAATTTTCTCGCGCCTTTATATTTTTTGCTCGCTAGCAAGCTTATACGTAACGTGACCTTGAATTTCCGTTGAACCAGACGCTACGTCAATCATATCGCAGAGAAAAAAACATTTAATTATAATAATCAAATTGTAATAACAATAATTACGATAATAAGAGAGCGTGATGAACTCACCGGTCTGCGAGAACGCCTTTAGACCGTCTGCTCTGGCAGTTGACGGACCACTCCGTGTTGCCGTGCGTGTTGCAGATCGTGATCGAGAAGCGGCCGTAGTTTGCCCGGATCACGTTGATCACGTGACCGGCCTCGCAAGTGATGCTTAGTGATGCTCCTTCGCAGCCGTACGCCGTTCGGTACGGCTGCCGTTCTGCAAGAAATAAGATAACAAATTCAGAAAATACGCCATTAAACGTACAGAAATCATATGCGATAGATCGCATGTAAAACATATAGGTAATGCCACAGCAGATGCAAGTCTACAAGACTGAGAAAATGTGATGTCTTTGCTTTCAAATTATCTGAAAACGTCGGTTTATAACGAAAAAAATCCTGGCAAAAAAAATATGCCAAAAACAAAAAACAGAAAATTCCTTTTGTTGATTGTAATGGCATAAAATAACACAAAATCTAATTGAATATTTGCAAAAAGACAGACGATCAACCCGAAAATTTGAGAAACCTCAAACTCACATTTTCCGTAAACACGTCGCGTTGCATAGACTACATTCCATAACTTCTGCCTACGAACGAGTCTAAAATATTTGTGAAATATAAATAAATAGTTCATAACTCTAAGACTAATAATAAAAAAAAAACTTGCAATGCCTATGCTAAATTCCCAAGATTCCTGAGGATGATAGGACTCCCCGCTTGCTATCGTCCAGGAAATTGTAACGGACAAAAGGGCTCTCGGAAGGTCCATAATGAGGAAACACACGAACCATCGAGAATAATTCGCAGCAAAGCCACCAACTAAGCAGCGCACAAAACTACAAGAGTGTCTCGTCAAACGCAGCGAGTGGCAAGTCATTACGGAGGAGCTGCATCCGTAGACTTCTTGCACGATATTGCAGGCGCCCAGTAGAAAGATTCATGTCAGTGCCACCGAGATTGCGGTTCTCTGCAAATACGCTACGAGTTTCATCACGCAGTCACCTCGAATGACGGGAAGCTTGATATTAATAAAGTGACATGAGCATACGGACCTGCATTCTGTGTGGCTATAGCTGACATGAATACTCAACTAGTGAAATGTTGCACTGTTAAAGAGGAAAAATTATATCAATATGCGGCCGCTTCATTAACTGTCGCACATAAATATCTTCTGGTTCAAATATTTCAAGCCTTAAATGATATAACGTTGAAAATTAAATGTTATAAGGTTAGAACGAACAACAAAATGTAGGAGGCCAGTTGATTCTAGTCCTGCCTAATGGCAGTAGTCGCACATGCGTAGTTATTATACGAAGAAGAAGCGGTAGAGTAAGTTTTTTTCTGAGTAAAAAAAAGCTTCAGGAAAAGTAAGCGTCAAAAACTAAATATTTTAAATAAGAATTGCGTGTAAAAAGACTTGCGCGGAACTCGCTCGAAATTAAATGCAAAAATACGCGTTTTGTGAAGAAGAAAATAATACCTCGCTTGAATACGCAGTCGATGTTATTTAATAAACTACAAACGTATGAAAATTTTAAACATATTCATTAATAGTGAAATGCTCCACAGTGATTTTGGGGTATATTTTGCAAGGAAATAAATGGCCTTAGAGTCGCACAAGAATCTCAGGATCTTTCCAGCACCTTTACCAACATGGAAGGCAGTGAGCTAGTCTCCCTTCATCACGAAGATGACCAAGCTAACCCATTAATTAAAACTCAAGTTCGTAACCCTACACATCTTAGTCTCGTGCGGTTCGCATCATCATTCAACTAAGCGAAGAGTGAACGTGACATGCCTTAATAGACAAGCCCCCCACAAACGTGTTTCTTTCGTAACGCCTTTACTCGATGATCCAGAATTCTTATCTCTAGTTTCCAGGTATTTCCACACTCTTGCATGCGCGTTCAATTACTCTAAGAGAGTGTCGGCTATTCTCGAGTTAATTCGTTGTTCGATTGCATGATTCTCTTTGTTTGGTCTTACATAGGTTGAGCTGAGCTCTCGCTCCCTCCCACACCGTCTCTACAATTGCCCTTAACTAATCTAACCACTTCTCTAGGCGGGCATCAAAGGCACCGCTTTAGCCCCCCACACCCCCCGCTATACCCTTCTTATTTTCCCCTCACGCCCTTCCTCCAGATCCCTATCCTCGATCGCAAGTACCTTCAGGTCTCCCCCTCCCAGCGTTCATACGAGCTACGTGTGTGCCCGTGCATTCTAGACCTCCCACCTTACCGTTACCGATCAGTCAATTTGGTTTGAAAATCTGGACGTCGCTAGGAGATAAATTCTCTTAATAGTTTAGTGCGATTTGGCAATAATAAAAAAAACATGAACAATATTGATAAGGATCTTAAGAAAAATTGCTCATTTTCACGTGCTATTTTTATCTTTAAATCTAGATCGCAGGCAACTCTTCCAGAATTATATATCAAGAGAATTAGGATTCAGTAGATTCTCGAACATGACCGACGTGCAGATCAAACTGAGCGAATTGCCACTAAAAATTCCTTCTCACGTCTCATTATGAAGGACAAAATGGAGAGTTTCCGGCAGCTAAATCTTCAAATGATTACAACATATTAAAGTTTCAATGACAGTGATTTTCGATGTCTGATTGATCCACTCCAGATTTCACTTCCCACATCCAGCCCCACAAGTTATGTATATTAACTTAATCCCAGAGGGGGCAAATTATTCTAAATATCAACAGAAAAATATCAATTCTGAGTTCTCCAACAGAAATGACGGGCCTCCAATAAAGAAAAAAACGTCTAAAACGGAAAGCATAAGAAATGAAACTGCAAGCCCTGACCACGGTGGTACGACAGCAGACCTCCCCGCTGGTTGGAAATTAAATCTACTGCATAATCTGCCATCTTGTGGGCAAGTGTCCAGGCACATGATTAAGGGTGGTAATATAATTCAAAGGTGCACATGAAATATTTAAAAGAGAAATCTGCGTCATTCTTGCGCGATGCATTAACTCTTCGTACGCAGGCGGTCATGCACGGCATGGGGGCCGCCATTATTGGACCAGACGCGGCCAGCCTTCTGCTCGCAGAAAAGGAATGGGTCATAGTGTCCAAATAGTGACTCACTTTTGTAGTGACTCACTAAATAGTGACTCCAAATAGTGACTCGCTGCATGTTCCACTGATACTTCTTTTGCCGGCCAAAACTGAGTCAGGGTGGCCTTCACAAGGGCAAGAAGTGCATCGCTGTTTGTACAAATTCTCTCAATTTTTCCTAGTGTGATTGCATGTCCGTAGACACGTCGCAGCAAAGGCCGATTATCATTATTATAATTATTATCATTATAGTTGCGAATTCAAGCGTCATTTGTTCTCTTACTTTTCTTCAATGAATTGCCCTATTTTCTGGCCAGTATTGCATATTGGCATAATAAGTCATCAAATTTCTAATCACATTGATTATGATGAACATGACAACAGGCTTTAAAAATTGGTTGTCAAGCTCACATTTCATTGATAGCTACCCGGCTTATTGGCTCAGCGTGCCAATAAATATATAGGAAAATATTAAACTCGTGGGTAAGGTTTATTCTATTGAAAATTTTAGCCTCAACACCCAGAATAATGGCCAGTAAATAATAGTTATAGAAGCGATTACCCGGGCAAGCGGAAGGTACATTAGCATGGGGCAATCTTGGGATCGTGAAAGCATTGCATGAATGTGAACAAAAAATAAGACATCGATTTCCAAGACTCGGTAATTATATTATTACAAGCATACGATAGAAAAAACAAGTTCTTGTGTTAATGTGGTCTCATGTTAAATGATCAATTTTGTATAGAATTTAGAGAAGCACGCTGGCGTAGCGCGACTCAGGTGACTATATTATTTATATAGAATTGCTGCATGCCTCAATGTATGTAATTTCGTAATAACATTTCTACATTGTATTGAGCGGAGATTTCCTGGGTGATACTAAGCACTTGATGCATGCATAGAGAAAATTTCTGCTGATGCTTCCAAGCTGCGATGCAATTTAGAAATCGCATGTTTAGGCGCCCAAATTATACGCAATTCATATCTAGAATGGCAAGACATGAAAAATTACGAAAGTGTGTCACCAAATGCAGGCAAAAACGTGGTGAAAGTGAGGAGCAAGATTGGTGCGAGAGCTGAATATGATCTTTGAATAATTCTTCTTCAATTTGTAGTATTTTTGTTAAGTGTGACAGCTTGTATAAAAAAGTCGTGTCGCGCAAGACTACAATTTAAAATAGTGGTTGAAGGCTGTTGTTTTGATGGCCTCACATGTTTACGTGACAAGTATGTTGTAAGCAAATAAAAAAATATACTCAAATAAAATCAACAAGAAATGCTTGACACAACCTTGACGTTTTAGATTATCGAACACAACTTGAACCAACACAAAACATAAGTTGAACAAATCTTAGGTTCACCGAGAGAATCATAAGTGGTCATCTATAGAGAAAACTCGCTGTTATTAACGACAAAAATTATGTAGTAATTAAGCAATGGATTACTCTTCAAAGGTAGCGTCATGGGTGCTTCCAAATGAAAGTATTTCAAATTTGAACTATTGAGAATTTAAAATTTAGAGCAAGTATTAACCTTTCAGTTGAATACAATTTTTAAAGGACACTTCTTGGAATCATTCCCAATACACCATAAATGTGGATTAAATATCAAGAACAATTGCAGGGCAATGCAGGCATTCTCTCTTGAAATTAAAGCTCAGTTTCGATACTAGCGCTACGATCACTGTTGAATTTTTATAAGTTTCAATTAACGGAATCAAAGGAAGCAATCAAAAAGTGCAGGAACATCCTTTGGTAAAATTGAGCGGCAACTTAAAAACTTGGCAATGTTAATTGCCCTGCAATTTCAAAGCTTCCAACGATGACCATTCAATTAAAGCAAGCCCTAGTTTTGCATAGGCATTTGTGGCGGGTTTTTTCTCCGAAATTTCCATTGGGGGCAGAAGCTGTGGCGGCGGTCAGAGAACAATCGTTGTTACTCGAGACTTTTATTCCAACGCACACGGAACGAACATGACTGCAGTACAGCACTTCATCATAAGAAATTCATGAAAATGGTAATATCCAAAAAACCCTGAGATTTCTCAACATTTAGTTTTGTGGACCTCAAAGAAACTGAGAAATTTTGAGTGAAAACAAGCACATGCAAAAAGGGTTTGATGAAAAAAAAGTTCCAACG